TATATTCCAGCTCTGCAAATTATTATTTAAATCTAAAGGTGTCCTCGACAAAAATCCACCAAATACACTTCGACTAGAATAGCTAGAGACATACCCTGCGCCACTTTTAATATTTTGCAGCCCTGTACTTAATTAATCCTTTCCTTCTTATTAAGGCTTACTAGTCTAAACAGCAGCGCTTTAAACGAAACAAATCATTCAGGCATAAATAATTGCGCACGATAAATTCCTCGGCTCTCGCGACTGATGTGCAATAAGAAAAAGTATCTTCGATATGTTTTTGCTATTCGGGCGAGAGCGCAAGAAAGCCGGGCGTCCGTGCCATTAGCGCGATGGGAAAGCTCTCAAGGAACCCTTCAGTTCTAATTGCTCTTATGAGGTCCTCGCGAGGCCCTATTATCATCGCCCGAGTTTTAACCTTAAACCTATTAATAAAGAGATTTCTAATATAAAACGGCTCGCGATGATGGAATGATCGAATCCGGGCCGGATTGGAATTTTTACGGGCGAAGGAAATAATTTCAGAATAGAGTTGGATTTTCGTTCATTAGGTTACGTCGTCGGGAAAGTGAAAAATCGAGCTTGAAATGACGCTAATTGAATTTGAGGACGCGCGACAATAGGGATGATGAAAATGGAGAGGGTAATAAAATTGGCAAATTAGGATTGCCTGTATAATTCGAAAAGTGGTTATAATAATAATTGATTTCTAATGTATCAGTTAGAAAAAAGTGTAAAGGATTATTGTATTTATATTTCATTTGAAGATCGCGCAGCTCACGTCTACAATTATTTCTAAGGCATCAGTGTCCCCGCTTGATTAATTTTATTTGGAAAGTGGCCAAATCGTTTCAATTTATATTTCTTTTTCATTTACACGTCCCCGCTTGTATTCGGATTCGGTTTGCGAAGACGGAGCAAAAGCATTGTGCTTTTGGATAAGAGACCTGTTTTGCAATTCCAATATCTATAAAAAGCCCGTATTACCGGAAAATCCCGAGCAGCAGGTAGTGAATTTTCATTTGTAGTGAAACACAAGCGGATCTGTATTTAATTTTGCGTTCTTTTATGGAAGGCGTTATTGTAATGCTTCAGGTTTATTCGAAATTCGAAGATGATTAAAGTGGAATACGGCAATACATTGCTGAATTCAATTCGGTATTTACGAACGGCGCGAAAGGGATGGATTCGATAGCATTCCCGATGAATTCGCCGATGATAAAAAACATGCACGTAATCCAGAATCTTGATGGAATCGGGCTGCTTTGGATGCATATGCATATGCATATGGATATCAAATTTATTAGATATAAACTTATAATTTTTAATCAAGCTTGAGGAGAAAACAACACTGAGCTTTTAATAGCTTTCAAAAGCTCTTACACCCTTTATGAATTTTAGGCGAATTCGCGAGCTTTAACAAATTTGAATTTTGTATAATTTTTTGCCTTCATCAAAACATAAATCAATACCTTTTAAATAATTGAAATGTATTTGTTTGTATATTTCAATCCTATACAAAAATTTTTATTTCGCGTTATTTTCACTCATAAACCAAAATAAATGTTTTGTATTAACTTATAGGCAACCATAAAATTAATAGCGATATAATTTACCAGACTTTCTCAAAATATAATCGAAACATCCGTCCACCATTAAATCCCGCTATTCTTTTTCCCTCCTTCTCGTAAATTTGTATCCTTTCTTTTGTTATTGAGCTATTTGTATACACTTCCGATTTGGGCTTGATGAGGTCGGATTTATCCCTGTTCCAAAGTCCGTTTTACGGGAAGGTATTTCCAGAGATAAAATTTGTCTTGGCTGTACACGTTGACGTTTTAGGGAAACAACCTCCGTAAGAGGATTGATTTTGAATGCCGAATGATAGGAGGAGGAATGGTAAAAATTATACTCGAATAATGCACAATACGTGCTTATACTCGAAAAGTTCCGAAGCACAAAATGTATTCGAGGAGATCCTACAAACGAAGAGTAAGATCTTTGGGAATAATAGAACTTTGTACTAAAACGGCAAAAATATAAGGTGGGCTAGACATACCTACATAATATAAATATTAAAAGATATATCGAGTATAAAAGTTTGGTGGATTTTTGGATATAAATTCTAATAGTTTTGATTTCATTAAATCATTTTGATAATATACGAGCGTGACATTTGCCCCATAAACCGGCCAAAAACGCCCGTATTTCATAAAATTTGGAGGACAGGAATATTATTTCGAAGACATATTTCTTAAAATTGGCATTTCAATATTCGTGCGCGGCCGGCTCTATATGCAAGCAATCTCACAACGTAATCCACATCTAAGTGGAAAGCATTTGTACTATATCCCGACTGACTGAAAATAAATTGGCTCAAAAAGGCCGGACCAACTACTGATAGTTTAAAGCGATAAATTTTTTAGCGTCTCCTTCTAAAACGAAAATCGTCAATCACGAACCCGCTCTGAAGCTTTCGAGTAAAAAAACACTCAAACTTCGCTCAAGTTCGTTCGTAAACAAATTCTGTTTCACTAGGTAGTATTTTTGTCGATTCTCCGCCAACAAAATTGTTTTATTTGATAGCAAAAAACATACCCTACATACCCTATACTAACAAAAATATTTTAGTGCGACATTAATAGAATATTTCATAATAGGTACCCATACAAAATAAGAGCTAGTAGATAGAAAGTATAATAACCTCCCGTATATTAAACGTGTTTAACCCTGTGCGCATTCCCTGAATAATAGAGCCGAATTTATTTTCTACCTTCGTACTCAATTAAAATTCCAAAATGATTTACGTTTTTCGCTATCGATTTTCGTCATTAAAATAAAACAGAAACGCATAAAATGGAAAATGAGGCGGGAGCTTCCGTAAAACGGTGGGGTATATAAAACTGGTAATAGGTAAGTAAATCTTCGCTGTAATTAGACAATAGCGGAGCCGCTATAATTAAATACGGACCCGGTATTATCGCATACATACGTTGAAATGGCATCACGACGGTGGATATTAATGATCATAACGATTTACATCGTTAATTTCGGCGGGCTATTCGTTTGGGAATTGTAGTCCGGTTCTTCACAATTATTGCTTATTGAATTTTAAAGTATTCTTAATAACTGATTGATTAGAACATCAATTAAAGCCTTATAAAATGTCTACTTAAGCTATAATATAAGGTAATTAATTTTATAAAAGTGAAGTGAGTACATGTATCGAAGTTAAAATTAAACGAGTTGGTTTATTAATTAATTCGCGCCTTTTTATGGAATTTCTGCGAAATTTGGCGCATCGCCAATGTTACAAAGCGAGCCAGTCATTTTCGTAACGACTTTTTAAAAATCCCGTTAAAGCCTATTAAACTATCGTTAAAATTTTCCAACCAACTGGAATAAATACGTTATGGAATAGCACGTATTGTTCGAAACTCACCAGTCAAGAAATTCATTGCACAGCCACCGAGTAATTACACGAGGAATTCTCTATTCCAGAATAATTCTCTATCACCAGCCATTGCAATCTCACGATCACTAGATATTATACACTTTGTATCATACTAAATTAGTAAGATTTGATAAGAAAACACCCCTTTTAAAGAGGTATCCAAAACACCCCTTAGCTAAATCGGCGCAAGTTCCTAATGAATCCATAACTAATAGACAAACAAGTTTCATTACTCCCGTATATTAATTCGCCTACACACTAAAAAAAGTATTCTGATTTCAAAAATTTGTATTTATTTAAAATGTTAAGCAATCGTCTTATTTTCTTCAAATAAATATACTTAAATCAAACTACAGTAAAATGACAACCCAAGAATTTAGTTTTCTTAAAAATTTACTTGAACCAAAACAGTAATATTTGACAAAAATCATTAATCTATTTTGTTCAAATATTTTACTGTATTGTCATAAACTCGAAAGTTTATTTAAAATAAATAAAAGTAAATTTGAATTGAGTAATTCGTTATTTTTATCAAAGAACTCTTTGAACCTACTTCTATTAAAAAGTTAGTATCTTCATGGAAAAAATAAAAAATGCATACTTGTACAAAACAATTCAGATTTTTATGAATAAGATACATATGTAGTATGGAAAAATAATTGTAGATTATCTTATTTAACTGGAAAAATGTACAGAATGAATCAATTTTAATGAGCTAAACTAGGCAATTAATGAGTAAAAGGTAGGTTCGGGTAATAAGGCCTATAGGATAATAATTAATAATTACCTAACGATGGACAGTGATAAACGCGATATTGTGTAAATAACTTTTATATATTTTATAATTATTGTATAATAATTTTTGATTGGTACATAATATATTTTTATATATTATACAGCGCTCGAACATGGACACTCTGTATAAGAATCTGGTAAATTAACGTTAATATTTTTTCCCTTTTTTAAAGTCCCTGGAAAATAATTTTTTTATTTACGACAGTAATTTTTTAAAATAAGTTATGATTCAGTCCATTCAGGTACATAGGTAGTTTAAAACTTATGTCAAATAAGTCATCTGAATGGAAAAATGATTTGCTGCACGAAAAAACTTTTTACGTTTTTTTTATTAATTTTCTGCAAAATATTTTAAATTTTCCGCGAGTCAAATCCAAGTACATCCAAACTATAAGTGACAACCCCTTAATCCTACTATACTAACTCGCTAACTCACTCTAACATACAAGCTCTGAAGGTCACAGCAGCCACGGTTTGTAGAATAATACGGTTACCTCACTTTGCTGGCAAAAGTGGGGGGAATACGTCACCAGTATGCTAGAGTTCGCTTGAGCCTACTAATCGTTACGAGTTTTCGTAGTTTTCCTCGTAGTTTTCTTTTGTTGTTGATGTTAATTGTGGTTTCTATTGAAGTTTTTTGAGTTTTCGTGTTTTTTTTATTGTGTTTAACTTCTTAGTACTATATCAGACTATTTAAAGACTATTTTCAATTATTAATTAGTTCTAAACATTATATATTTCTTTCATCGCGGAGTCAGGTAAATATAAAAATTGTTACTATATGATTTGAAATTATTTTTTAATATTTTTCCAATATTCTATCGTAGAAATGACTGGAACAGTTTGTTATGTGGCTACTTGTAAAAGTAATAGTGAAAGGGCAAAAAAGGAAGGGGAATTAATAAGATTTTTTACTTTCCCCAAAAAAAAGGAAGTTTTGAAACAATGGGTTCGTCTTTGTAGAAGGAAAAGTCCCTTTGATCCAAAAAATAAACGTATTTGCAGTAAACATTTTGCGCTGGATCAGTATGAAGACATGATTGAAGCTCAGATAAAAAATACTATGCCAAAAAGACTCAAAGAAACAGGTAAGTTTGTCAATGAAATCTTTCTCTAAAAAATAAGTGTTTTATTGTTTATATTTTAGCTATTCCATCGCTTAACCTTCCATTGGTACCTGAACACACTATTAGTCAAAGAAGCAAGAGAATGGAATTAAAAGAGCAGAAACGGATCGTTGAAAGTCTCTTAATAGATGAAGCTCCCAAAGAGAATGCTTCGCCCCAGGATATGTCCGCTTGTAGTTCAAACAGCCTATTACAAGACATAAGTAACCATCAAAGCCAACATGAAATATTAAATCAAAAATATATCGCTCTTAAAGAACAATGTGAAAAATTAAAAAATCAAGCGCAACAAGACAAAGCAGAAATAGAGAACCTTATTACCACAAACAAGAAATTGCAACTCAGTGCTGATCATAGTCAAAATACGTTGAATGCAAAAGTTAAAGGCCTTTTAGAAGATTTTTTAACGCCAAATCAAATTGAAGTTTTATTAAAGCATAAAACCAAAGCCAGATGGAACAGCGAAGAAATTTCTAAAGCATTTACTCTAAGATATTTTAGCAAACGTGCCTATATTTATGTTAGAGAAACATTAAAATATCCATTGCCAGGTATATCAACACTTCAAAGATGGGCATCAAGCATCGACTTACAACAAGGAATATTGAAAGACGTCTTAAAAATAATGAACATATCTGGAGGGGATAAAACTAATTACGAAAGGGTGACTGTACTTTCTTATGATGAAATTAAAGTAGCATCACTTATAGAATATGACCAAAAGCTTGATAAAATTGTTGGTCCCCACTCATATATGCAGGTTATAATGGCAAGAGGCCTCTTTAGCTCATGGAAGCAGCCAGTGTTTATTGGTTTTGATACCAAAATGACCAAGTCTTTGTTGCAAGAAATTATTAAAGAGCTAAATAATATTAACTACGATGTTGTGGCATGTGTATCTGATTGTGGAGGTGGAAATATTGGACTTTGGAAAGAAATGGAAATAACAGTTAACAACACATATTTTGTTCATCCAGTGACTGGAAATAAAATATTTATGTTTGCTGATGTACCCCACACGTTAAAATTAATTAGGAATTGGCTCCTTGACCATGGATTCAATTTAGAAGATGGGACTGTTATTACTAAGGAACCAATTATAGCTCTAATAAATGATTCCAGAAGTGAAATTAGTTCGTGCCACAAGTTAACGCGATTACATATTACTTGTGAAAAAGCACAAAGACAGAATGTGTCTTTAGCAGCTCAGCTGTTGTCTCATACAACAGCTACAGCTTTAAGGAGATATTGCCCTGGGCCAAATAAACAGTTGGCTCAAAATGTGGGAGGATTCATTGAGCTTATTAATAAATGGTTTGATATTTTAAATTCATATTGTCCTTCCGAGACCGTCAACTCTAAAGTACCGTACGGAAAAAAATTGGAATTGCAAAATGAGGTTTTAGACCAACTAATTAAAACATTTTTAAACATGCGTGCAATTTCCAAAAACAGTCTGCAGACTTTCCAAAAGGCAGCAGTTATTTCCTCATTATCTTTGAAGGAATTATTTCAAGACATGAAGGAGAGATATAAAGCTTCTTATATCTTGACACATAGATTGAATCAAGATTGTCTTGAAAACTTATTTTGCCAGGTATAGTTATATATATTTTATTAAATGTTAGTAAATTCAAAAAAAATTTTTTAACTTTTCAGATTAGATCAAGAGGCGGCTTACATGACCATCCTGCTCCCCTTAATAGTATATATAGATTAAGGATGATTCTTGTTGGAAAAAACCCAGGGATCGTACAGAAAAATACCAATTCGCAGCAGCTAAAGGAGGCAGACCAAGAAGAATTTTTACTCGCTAAAGCACTAAATCAGGCTAGTATTGGTTCTTTAAAGGAAATCATACCAAAAGTTACTAGCGATGAAGAAATGAGTGAGATTTCGAGTACAACTTCTTCTGATACGTCAACCAAGCCAATTTATGAAAAAGATGGTTTGGTATATATCGCTGGATATCTGGCCAGAAAACACCAGAAAGAATTTCCAGAGCTTGGAACCTACACATATAAAAATGAGGCCAAAAACCTTCATTCGTATGCAATGCCGTCATGGGTACAAAGCCTTTCGTTTGGTGGCTTAACTGAGCCCTCATCTACGTGGCAAAGTGACGTTGAACGTTTGGATAAGTGGTTCATTAAAATTCATAAAGACAAATTTAAAATTAAAAATAAAATTGTTAGTCGTACAACAAATTTTATTAGTAAAAAAGAACCACTCATCGCAAAACAATTAATTTTTTCATTTGTACGACAAAGGCTATTTGTTAGAATAAAATACCTTAATTTAAAAAAATCTGAAGAGTATACATTAAATAAAAGAAAACGTGACAGCGATGAAGCCAGAAAATTTTCTAAAAAAATGAAAAAAACTGTTACGTAAAGTTTTCTTTAATATTAATTTAATCTTGTTAATTCATATTTATTCGTTTCATCTCATATCGTTTATTTATTATATATCTCGTTTATTTATATGTTTATAATGTTTATTTATATTTACTTTGATATAAATATATTTTGTCGTAATACTTTGTTTTATTTAAGAATTTAAGGCCCAAAATAACTATAATAATATGTACCGTTTAATGGGTATACAAATAAACCATTTATCATTTAATTCAAAAAATACCCGTCTTCTTTTAAATTTTAATATATTTATGGAAAATATACTTTTAGTAGTTATTATTCCTGTCCATTGACACAATTTTTATAATATTTTACCCTCTAAATATTATTAAAAACATTATTTTCATTACACTTGAGATGGTCGGAATATGCCACTGAATTCTTGTGACGTCACGAGATACCGGTGCGTGATTGGCTAAAAAGTTACGAGACAACCGTATTATTCTACAAACCGTGCACAGCAGCAGCGTTCCGCTCCGCTAAGGTACTTCCAGCTCCCGAGCTCCCGCTACCCTCGGTTGGCAAATTCGGCATATTCCGTCAAATTCGCTAACGCTGATTCGCTCCGCGTTGAGCCGCGTTTCATGTTCCTGTTCCTGTTCTGTCCTGTTCTTTTACTTAACTGTTTTTTTATGCCTGGTTTTTTGACGTGTACGTGTGTGCATGTGCATATGCCGGTTGCAGGAGCAGGACGAATAAAATGGAGGAAGTTCTACAAGACCCTGAAGTCTCCAAAGTATTTCACGGTAAGTAATTATTCCTAATAAGCTCTATAGTTAAATAACTTTTAAATATCTAAGTGTCTAAGATTATTGCGTGGGTCTAATAGACTAAAATATGTACACCGCCATTGCGTAGAAAGCACGTGCAACCTTTTGCAATTTGCCAATTGTCCATATAGGAGAAAGTGATTAATCTGTTGTTTGACTACTTTATACATACATAATAAATAAAATAGAATTCGAATAAAATTCTATATTCAAGAAGTATATTATATGTTTTCTTGATTCAAAGTAATCCAAGATTTGTTTGGTCAAAGTAACGAAATTCTTGGTTTAAGATTGTGGGGAGAGTACGATTTCCGTGGCGCCGCGATTTGACAACTTTTTTAGCTTAAATGAGCCAAAATAAAGCGAAAATAAAGAATAAAATTTTTTGATATCTCGCTTCGTTTTATTCTTGTAAATTCTTCGTAAAATTTACTCTTCATTTTCGCTTTATTTTGACTTAATTAATCCTTAATCTCTGAACATCATCAAATTTATATGGCACTTTCAAATGAACCACTTAAACCAAAATTTCATTTTCTTTTACATTACGTTCGAATCATAAAAAAAATTGGCCCTCCAGTACATTTGTCTGGAATGCGGTTTGAGGCCAAACATAAAGAATTCAAATCAACTGCACGTATTATATCTTGTAAAAAAAATCTGCCATATTCTCTTTGTTATAGAATGCAGCTAAAATGTGCTTACCGATTTCAATCAAAAATTGGACTTCAAGATATCGTCGATTTCGGTCCATCATTTGATATTATGAAAGATGATGCCATAGTCTCATTTGATAGTGAACTGTTTGATACTTTTTATAATTCTAACAGTTGTTTGTTTTATGACAAAAAAGAAGAAGTGCCAAATTTCTGCCTATAGATATTTGACGTACTGACGTAATAATGTTTTTGTTCGTTTTTTTTTTGTTAATTCTTTTTGTTCATGTTCTTTGATGTTCTTTGATGTTCTTGTTTGAATAAAGTATTTTTATTTTAATCTTATTTTTACATATACATACATATCTACCTAAATACCTGTCTGTATGTAACCTACCTGTTTCTTTATGTACTATCATTTAACATAAATTAGTCAGTTGTTTAATTTTTTAACTGTAATGTGTATAGTTACATATAACTAGATGCACTTGCATATTATGAAGCAAGACATCATATCTTATTTCATAATACGCAATACATCGAGTTCTGTAACTATACACATTACAGTTCCGTTTTCAGTTTGAACGAAGGTATTATTTTAATCCAAAAATAACATATTCTCTAGTATGAGTATTTTATATACTTACAACAAGAAATTATTCATTTTTAATTAAAACACTGATTGATTTAATTCAAGCTTGCGATAAAATAGGTTCAAATCAGTAGTGAGCTCAAAAATAATAAGATAATACTTTAAGTAAAGGAAACCAAATGCTTCAATTAAGCATAACGATTCTAAAATCAAGAAATGAACCCATTTTCAATAAAAAAATGATTGATTTAATTTAAGAAATACTATACATTGATTCAAACAAAGATTATACTCAACAGTAATATGATAATTTTTTGAAGAGACTATCAGATTCTTGCATTAAGCATGTCGATTTCTCTTTTTGAGAAAATGATTTGTTTAACTAACAAAACATTTACTTATTTGAATATTCAAATACCCTAATTTTCTTGAAATAAGAATGTTAGTTTTTCTTAAATTAAGAGTTTCTCAGTCTATGATCAAAACAATGATCATTTTTTTATTAAATAATTCAAATTCTTAATTGAAATACATGATTTGTTTCATTATATGGGAACAAATCATTTATTTGGTTTAAATATGACTGCATTAATTCAAATAAACATTTTTATGTGTGTAGTATTAAATACCAGTCCAAACATCCGCCAATACTCCGCATGTAAATAAAGCATCCCTTTGCGGCGTTAACCCCGTCAACTCCTAAATCGAATCCTCCGAATTTATATTCCCCGCACCGCGCCGAGTACAATTTAAACCCCGCGACTTATAAGCAACTGCCGCTCTAAATTGTAAATCGTCTTTTTTACGCGCCGGGAAATCGCCATCTAAGTGCTGCTTAATAAATGATGAGTTTCATTGTACAGCGACACGCCCGCACATACCGAATAGACCAACGCGAAATTTAATTAAATTACGCCGGAAGTTTCCGTTTGTACCTAAAAGAAACTCGCGAAAGACGCGCCGTTTTTATAAGCGAACTTGGGTATCTCCATTGGAATGAGTAGGTGATGTTGCCGCAAATGTGGAAGACAATTTACTACACCGTCTTGCGGTTTTTCAGGATGTTCATGAGCATGTTAGGTGCTCCAAAGATGCAGCAGGGGTTACCTTATTCCAGCCCTGCCAAAACCGCGAAGGGTGCATAACATTCTACACACTATCAGTATATTTCTA